TTTTTTTTTTTTGGATGTTTCAATGACATTTTTTTTTTTTTATATTTTAGTTATTATTTTTTTATTTTTAGATGCTTCTAATTTAGATGTATATAAAAAGTAAAACATTCGTGAAGAAATATGATTTTTTTTTTCCAAAGGCAAAAAAACACATTTTCATTTTTAATGATTTTTTTTCTATATTTATTTGCAAATATATTAGCTTTAAGATACATCTAAATTAGGTGCATACAAAAAGTAAAAATTCAAGAAAAAAAAAAAAAAACTTTGAACTAAAAATATATGAAAATTTTCAAAATTGAAAACTAACTTAAAAGTCTAAACCAAATAAGGTGTTTATTTGTAGTGTAAAAACATTTATTAGAATTAAATAATTTAGATTTCACTATAAATTACTTACCAAGGGCTTCCAAAAAATTACCTAAGTTGAATATAAGTATTTTCTTGTTATTTTTGTTTTCTATTTTTTTTATTGATTTTTCAATCACAAGTAAAAAATGATTCACTCACAGTTTTTGAGGGGGAAAAAAATGTAAAATACTTTAAAAAGAACTCACTTTTTTTAAAAAAAAATTGTTAGCAAATGTCTTGAGAGTTAGGAATGTCCAAAAAGAATTGATAAAACTCATAAATTGGTCTGGACTTGTTAGAATTTACCACCTCACCTACTCCCCTTACCTACCACCTCCACTACACTTCACCTACTACACCTATATCTCTCCTATATAATGCACCCCTCACCAATTGTAATAAACAACCAATCTTGTAACAAATCCATCAATAATATACATCAATTTATTTTACATGGTATCAGAGCAAGGTTGAGAAACTAATAATTCTGCTTCACCGGCGGGCGGCAGCCTCGCCTTGGCCGCCCGCCGGACCTCTACACATACCTTCACTCTGCTGCCCGCTGGAGTTTTCAATACAGCTCATCTTCTTCGTCCAACGACAGATGGCCCCTCGTAACCCCCTACCGACAACCGAATCAAACCCGGGATCTTCCTTATCCACGACCTCCGGCTCGCACCCGACTCGACCCGCAATGACCCGTCAGACGAGCATCGCGCGCTTCCCGTGCATGCACTTGAACTTGGATTCTTCGCGTTCTGGGGCCAACCCGTTTTGGATATGATCCGAACAATGTTCTTCCCCGAATCGCCATCTATAACAGGCTCACTATCTTCATAGAAACCCACCTCTTGCCCATCCTGCACCATTTTACCCCACACATCTTTTGCAGTAACACAGCTTCCTTCAGACAGCCCAAAGCCGGGCCAAACAGTCACGTTTACCTTCTGAGTTTCACATGCCGCGATGGCAGCAGTTACAGGGGGGTTCTCTTTTGCAGTCTTGTGATGTAGAAGTACTCCAGAGACTCCATCCTCGCCGATGAATGGTTCATTCCCATGATCTCCTGACAGGTGTGAGACTCCTCCAATTGAATTCGCCCATGTAAAGCAAAGGGTCACTTTTGCCCTTTCCTTCCCGGTATTCACCAACGTATAGACAAAAAAAAACTGCCGTAGAAAGACTGCTATCTCGATAATTATGGCAGCTTTGACATCTTCACTCTTTATCTATTTCTTCTCTCCCTCTTCCTTTAAACCCTCTCTTTTCCTTTCTTTTTCTTTTACTATTTCCCTCCACCAACTTTTGTCCCCCTTCTCTTCTTATTATTATTGTTTTTATATTCCTCTTCCCATCCGGCGCACATGGTTCTCCCCTCCTCTTCTTTCTTTTTTTTTTTTTTTTATATTCCACCACTCACAATGTTTTTCATATCACAAGACAGGGGCTCGGGCTTGGTGCGCCTCAAAAGGAGATCTTCCACATTCTTTCTTTTTATTTATTTTTCTTTATTTCTTTGCGCACACAAAAAAAAAAAAAAAAAAAAAAAAAACAAAAAGGCAGCAATCAAAAACCGCACAGCACCTCAGCTGTGATGTACACAGACATGATCAAAGTTGTAGGACTGTACTCCACGCTGAATTATGCTCAAAACAGATACCAACTGTGCCACTGATATGCACATTCCTACACACTGTAAAGTACATACCAGTTAAGAGAGAGCCAAAACACTCCTATGAGGAGGGGAGGGTTACCCTATCCTACTTTTTGTCATGAACTAGGATTTACTATTTTAATCAAACGGTTTCACGCAATCCTACACAAGGGTGAGCATCCTATCCTAATTTGGATCAGTCACTATGGCTTTTCTATATGCAACTAGGCCAAATGGTCAAAAAAAAAAAAAACAAAGTATACTGATTGGCCTCTACATCTGACTGCCCTGCCATTCTTTGCTCCACCGACCGCATCGGAAAGTTCAACGGAGCAAACTCCGGGGCGCTTGGTTGAGTTTCCAGTGCCACCGCACCAGTTCTCTCTCTCGTTGACTCGTTGAGGTCGGGAAAGAGGGTGAGCAGTCCACGGGAAGATGAGGACGAAGCCATTTTTCTGGCCAACAGAGTGTTACAGCGTATCTCTCTCAGAACTCTCTCTCAGAAAACAGAGTGTCTCAGAATATCTCTCGCAGTTTTTTTTGTCTCAGACTCTGCCTCAGCCTCAGCCTCAGCCTCCGTCTTATAGCCGAGGCAGCCACGCGCATCGCGCGCCTCTTGACGCCCGACAAACTGGCACGCCTTTTCATGGCACATCTTTTGATAAAGTGGGCACGCCTTTTGATGGCACGCCTTTTGAAAAAATTGGGCACACCTTTTGAGGGTGCCACTTTTACAACGGTCCGACATGAATCAGAGCAGGTTTAGAACCTAGTATTTTCGCTTCCCCGGCGGGCGGCCAGGGCCAGCCACGCGCATCGCGCGCCTCTTACCACCAGCCGACAAACGGGCACGCAAGCCAAGGCGCCCACGTGCCTCGCCATCATGTCCGGCACACCTTTTGATGAATTGGGCTCGCCTTTTGATGGCACGTCTTTTGATAAAATTGGGCACGCCTTTTGTCCGGTCAGCTTCTACAACGGTCCGACATGACCCCATAAACTGTCTCGACATTTGATTCCGGTTAGCATTTTCAACGGTCCGACATGACCCCATAAACTGTCCCGACATTGATTCCGGTTAGCTTCTCCATCGGTCCAGTGTGACCTCGTCAACTGTCCAGACTTTATCTGCTACAGCGGTCTGCCACAACCATCCAGTGTCCTCTACACCGTTATGGCACGCCCATCCAGTGTCCTCTACCACGTTATGACACCACCATCCAGTGTCCTCTACACCGTTATGGCACGCCCATCCAGTGTCCTCTACCACGTTATGACACCACCATCCAGTGTCCTCTACACCGTTATGGCACGCCCATCCAGTTTTATTTTTATGTATTTTCTTTTTTTTATTTTTATGTATTTTCTTATTTTGTTACTTTCTCCAAACTCAAGTTGTTTAGTTTCTATCCTCCTTGAGTTTGCGGGGGGCTGTTAGAATTTACCAATTTACTCCTCCACCTACCATCTCCACTAGCACCCACTTCACCTACCACCTCCACTACACTACACCTACTACCACCTTCTCTTCTATATATAGGAGTTGTAATACATAACACATCAATACATCAATAATAATACATCAGTTATTTTACATGTCTTGCAAAGACTGGGCTGCTTCAACGATGATACTATGGTCATGGTCTTTGGCAAGTGCTGCTTTGTCATTGGAAGACCTTTGTTGCTGAGGCTGTTAATGAACCTCGTTTTCTGCCTTTCTTTCTGGTGTCATGTGTAAATCACTGTGAGTATTAACCATAATATTCCTGAGAGAGCCAAATCTATGTTAATGAGTCAATAATCTAGGTTAGCCAGAGAGTGAGTAACCATGTGAGGATAGAGCAAGTGGTTCAGAAAAAAGAAATAGAAAATATAACCCAACAGCTTTGTGGTACAGAACAGTTTGATTTCCTTTTTTCTATAGTTAACTAACTCTTTCACCAAATATGTTTCTCTGTGTGTATCACTTGAATTGCTATTACACACCGACTACTGTTTAATGCTTTCATTAAGCTGGGATTTAGTGGAGCATAACCAGGTTATACTTTGTTTAGAGTCGTTAAAGTATCATGGTATAATCTTCTTTTATTCTGCATATGGAAAACAGAACTCTTCCACACACTAGCTGAAAGCCCTTTCCCACTTGTCGTAATGATGACCTAAGGTTTCCAGCCAAGCCTTTGTTTGCTGCTTTGAAATATGGTGTGGGTCAGTGGCATCAGTTAACCAATAATCGAAGAATCAACTAACTGGGCCAACATGTTGATTTGCTTTTCTTCATCGAGTTTTCTATTGTGTTTGTCAGTGGCAGATAAATTGTGTTTTCAGTTATTATTTTTCTAACATCATTTAAATTTGAAACTTCTTGCAGTTAGAGCGCTTCAAGGTCTTTGGAGGAATGACTTGGTAGCACTAAAGGGAGCATGCCCAAATTGTGGGGAGGAGGTTGGTCTTATACCACAAATAAGCTTGTTTTAGTTCATAAAAAAAAGAAAAAGAAAAAGAAATTAGAAGCTTTTATATATCTTTTATTTTAGTTCTTGACATAGATTTTCAGTCATGTCTCAGATACAAATTAATGGTTCAACTTTTAATGCATTGCCTTAAAGCTTTAAGCACGGTTGTTTGCAGGTGTTTGCATTTGTGAGATCAGATCAGTCCAATAACTCCCCCCATAGAGCAGATTGTCATGTATGTGAATGCTCTCTAGAATTCCGCACCAAGGTTGAGGTAATAGTAGTTGTCATGTGTGCTTTCATCTTATAGGATAAGCAGAACTAAGACAGAATATATAGAGTGTAATTTTAGTAACAGTCACAATGGAAGCAGAAGAGAAGTGAAGATTGAGAACCAATAACTACTTAAGAGTGAACATTTTCGTCATTTATGATCGATTATCTTAACGACTGGGGAGATTGGAGCGGATGTGGTCCACAGAATTAAGGCGGGGTAACTTAAGTGGAGGAGTGCGTCTAGAGTACTGTGCGATAAACGAATATCCATTAGACTAAAAGGGAAGTTTTATAGAACGGTTATTAGATCAGTGATATTGTATGGGATGAAATGTTAGGCAATTGAGAAATAACATGTAAATAAGATGAGTGTTGCTGAGATGAGGATGTTAAGGTAGATGTATAGCAAGACTAGAAAAGACAGAGTTAGGAATGAGTATATTTGAGAATGGGTAGGAGTCGTACCGACATAAGATAAGTTGAGAGAGAATGAATTGAGATGGTTTGGTCATATACATCGGAGACCAACAAAAGTAGTAATTCAGTAATGAATAGATGCGATACAGTGTCTGTAGATGGTAGTGTTAGGGGAAGGGGAAGGGGTAGACTTAGATTGACGTGGACTAGTGTAGTAAATAGAGATATGAATCTCCTTAATTTGACTAACGAAATGGCCTTGGACAGAGTTGAGTGAATACGGATTCATGCAGCTAATCCCATTTGATGGGACGTAAGGTTTGGTTTGGTTTGATACTTTACAAATTTAATGAACATTCAAATTTTAAGGAGTATCACAACTTCAATTAGCAAGTAGGAAGGAGTATGACAACTCTAAGATTTTGAGCAAATGAAGGAAATATATTGATAGAATAGCCTTTCATGTGGTTTTTTGTATGCTTAAAAGGAAATAAATATGCTATAATTTATATTATTCCAGACTTGCAACCTGATTTTGTAATTTTATTATATCATTAGTTCCTTCACATATTCTTCCGTAGAATTTTATCAGGTTGGTGAATTAGTTGAAACCAAGAATAGCTACATATTACCAAAACTACAGTTGTCTATATCTAAGTCATTGATTGGCAGAGCGGTAGTGGGAGCAAGAACGCTTGGGTGTCTTATTCAAAAATATCTTGAGAGCAGTAGCAGCTTGGGAGGTCACATAATAAAACAATGTTTTTACCGGTAGCCCAGTAGTATGGTTTTTTACATACAGTTGGGAGGTAACATGTTCAGCACTTGGGAGATTCATTTGCGTGCATAGGTTGGAAGTATTCCGGTGTGACATTGTTACTGTGAGTTGCACACGTGGCTGCTCACTGTTGGTTGCAATTGAATTCCTATCAGTTTGCAAATTTGACTGAATAAATATGTGAATTTGATCCTTTTTCATTACCAATTTGCGATCCGCCACCTTAAGTGCACAAACTAGGTGACTTAGGTCTCTAGACCATTGTGGTCAAGTTCTTATAGAATTTGAAGAGAAAATTTTCCTTTTTAGTCTTCCTTGTAAAATTGAATCCTTCTTTTGGATCTTGTTCTAATACTCTTAACAAAGTTTGACTTGTTTTGTTTACATGATTTTATTGTGTAGCAATCCATCTCAATACCGGGTAGACAGTGGGTTTATGGCCGCATTTACTTGATTAAACAGCGAGGCAGAAGACGCCAAAGATGGATGTAAGACGGATGTAAGATGTATGGCAAGATGTTGTTCCACTTGATCGGTGTATTTTAATTACCAGCATTGCATACAGTAGCATGATTCTTTCCTTTTCATTTTTCCCATTTTGGAAAATTGTAATGATCCTAGCACAGTACTTTGGTGACAAATCATTGAAAGAGCAGTATGTCTTGTATTATGCAAACTGATTTGAGTCATTCTGCCAGAACTTCAGTAAATTTTATACTCTTATTCTATTAGCTGTGTATCTATTTGTATACATTTATTCATATTTATCTATTTGTTTCCCTGGGATTAGAAGTTGGTTGGCTTGCAAAAAACAAACAATTCAACTGCCCCAAAGACATTGATTGATCTTTATACAGCTTTGATTAATCAAAAGAGATTGATTGTATTTTCATTGAAATACCACTTTGGTTTATTCACTTTTAATTGTAACAGTTAATTTTTTACATTTTAAATCAAGTTTCAATCTTACCATTTTGTCTATCTGCCGTTAATAAAGTTTACAGAAATTGAAAATAAAGAGATTAAAGTGAGATTTTGTTAAAAGTTTAAGGACTAAAGTGAAATTTTAGTAAAAGTGTAAAGATTTTAATGAGAAAACAAAAATGTCTCATATATTACAAATGGCAAATTTTGTTAAACAGATGAAAGGGTAAGATTGTAATTTGATGCAACATATAGGGCATGGCTTCTATCCAGTCTTTAATCGGATTGGGCTGTGTTGTTGGGCTCGTGGGGGCCTACCACGGGTTCCGTTTTGATAATCTGAACCGTGCAATGTGTAGAACTCGTCGAGTATTATATGCTTGTAAAAAATCACGTTAATTGGATATCGATAGGTACGTGATCAAATCAGTTTTGTATAAAAAAAAATAGACGGTGAATAAATTAACGGTTGACAAAAATCTGTTTTGATCACATAGCTATTGATATCCAATCAACGTGATTTTTTATAAGTATATAGTACTTGACGAGTTTTACACATTGACGGTTCAGATTATCAAAATGGGATCCGTGGTGGGCCTCCACGGGCCCAACAGCACGATCCAGTCCGATTAAGGACTGGACAGAAGCCATTCCCTAAAAGATGAGAGGGTTGATTATTATAATTGAGAGTGAATGAATAAAATTGAAATTTTGATAAAAGTGTAAAGATAATAATTAACTGCTTCAAAAGAGATTGATTGAATGTAATAAAGTTTGATTAACCAACAATGTTTTTTTTTTTTTTTTGAACAATTAATTAATAATGTTATGATAATCAAATTTGAGCGTATAATGATGTTGTCACTAATACATTAATGTTACCATATGATATTTTGCAAATGTGAGGCCCATTGAACTAATGTATTATTAGAAACACAATAAATGGGATTAACAATATAGGTATCATTATGGATGAATTAAAAAATATTTTAAAAAATTAATAAATACATAAAAATACAAAAAATATATTAAGTTCTTGTATTTTTTTTTGTATTTTTGGTAATTAGTGAATTTTTAAAAGATTTTTTTTATAATTTTTTTACTTTGTAGGTATATTTATGTTAAGTGTGTCTAAAATTAAAAAAATTGCTTAAAATATTAAAAAAATAAGTTTTTTTTAAGGTCCCTAGTATTAAGATTTTATAGTATAAAGGACATTCAATATTTTAACAATGTCTAAGATCCCTCAAGTTGATCCAGAGAAAATTCACGTCACAGAGAAAATTGGTCCAAAATTTCTCTGACCTTCCCTAATCTTCTCACTGTAAATTTCTCTACCCTCCCCTTCTCCAAATTTCTCTGCCTTCTATACACTTCTGACTCTCCTAGAGAAATTTATCTGCCTTTCCACAAAATTACATCTCTAGAGAAATTTTAAATTTCTCTGCCCTCCCTGCCTCTTTTGGACTCAACACTCCAGAGAAATCACCAACCTTCAATTGGTCAAAATGAATCCAGAGAAATTTGAAAACCCACAGAAAATTGATCAAAATCAACCCAGAAAAATTTCTCATTTAGACAATAAGGAACCACTTCAATCGGCTGAATGACAAATCCAACTTTTTAACACACATCCTCTAGAAGCTTTATTTGTGAAGGTCCGTTGAGACAGAATGCAATCACAGCACCACCACTACTAGTAAACTTTGCTGCAACACCCACACTTTCGGGCTGTCTCCGCCATCTTTACGTTTAAAGCACCAAGAGCATCGTCTCCAAACATGGCCCTATGTAAGGTCCAAAAACTAGTTCAATAATAAATGAAATATGTGTCTATTTGTAAGGAATGATTCGACATTACAATTCAGGTGACAGAAATAGCAAGTTTGTTCACCCCACTATCATTTAAAACTGTTGGATACCACGAGTACTTTACCGGTCAGATCGGCTTCACCACGCTCCGCCGGCGCCGGTCGTCAATGATGCTAATGAGAGATGGTTTGCTTAATTTCACTAATTTTCTCTGTGTTTTGAATTTTTCTTTGGGTTAAAATTTATCTGTGTTTTGACCAATTTTCTCTCATTCACTCACAATTTTCTCTAATTCACTCACAATTTTCTTTGTGTTTTGACAAACTCGGAGAAAGTTGAACATATTTCTACATAACACATACAAACAAGCATGCATATATTGGTGTCTTCCCCATCAAATTACCTAAATGACTGAAGCTTCTTGGTGCTTTTCTCATACAAACAAGCATGTTTATATATTGGTGTCTACTACCTATGTCAGATTGTGGTCGTTGATCCCTTCATAGAATTTCTTCACAATTTTCGATGCCGACATTGATGGAGATTCATCGTCTGATGATGATGATATGGTGGTTGTTGGATTATCACCATCTTGTTGCAAGGATGACACAACAAGAAGGATGACACAACCCACCTCTTTCTTGTTGTTGATATGATTTTTACACTACTAAAATGAGGAGTAGCAGTAATAGTTGTGGGGTTTGAAGATGAAGATGATGCAGCAGTGAAAGTAGGTAATAATACTCCATCTAGGTAATAAACTGTTGGCAACTGCTACGAACTCAGATCGGCTTCACCACGCTCCGCCGACGCCGATCGTTAATGATGCTAATGAGAGAGAAGAAACACAGTTGAGTGAGAGAAGAGACACAACAAATAAAGAGAGAGAGAGAGATTCGATAATGGAGAAGTTGGTAGAGAGAGAGAAGTCAAATTTCTCTGTGATATATAGGTATAGATGTTGAAGGACCTTAGACATTATAAAATAATATTGTGTATCTCTTTTATTACTAAAAATAGGAGAGGGATCTTAGACTAATTTTCTCTTAAAAAAATTCAGTAAAAACAAAAAAATACGAAAAATAAGAAAGTAGAATTTTCTGAAAAATGTTTTTGGAAAATTGGAACCAAGCAAACTGATTTTATTTTTATTTTTGTTTTTACTTAATTTCAAAGTTTTTATGTATATCAAATCAGATTTTTTTTTTGTATTTTATAAAAAAAAGAAAATTGACAACATAATTTGTTCTTTTTCTATTTTTGGGTACGTTATAGGAGAAATAATAGTTAAGTGGAAAGTTCAAAGAAAAATTTCATGGGCATGAAAAAAATTATAAAATTACTTTTTTAATGTTGTAAAATTTAACATTAATATATAAATATTTTTAAAAAATTGAAATGAAATTCCCCTATATTAAAGTACAAGATTAGTCATCCAACTTGAGAGGACATTCGCGTTTATTGAACCCATTTTGTGGCAACATCGGATCAATTATATGTTTAAATTATATTTGTTTTTAAAAAAAATAAACTTTTCTCATATTTATATATCAATATAAGAGAACTTGATAGACTCGTGGAGCCCACCACATGTTCCGTTTCGATAATCCGAACCGTTCACGTTTTAAAATTTATTGAGTAAAATATTCATGTAAAATATTATGATAATTGGACTTCGATAGCTATATATTTTAATTAAATTTATATTACTAAAAATGAATAGTTATTCTAAAAATTATATTTGTTGTTTAGTTTTTTAAAACAAATATGATTAAAAAATAAATGGCTACCGATGTGCAATTATTTTAATTTTTTACATGAATATTCTACTCAATGAATCTAAAAAAATGATTGATTTAGATTATCAAAATCAATTTCAAAATGAGTCTATCAAACCTTACTAACTTGAAAGAAGCTAAACCTTTAAAAAAATATACAACAATTATAATTTTAAGAGTATCATTCATTTTTTATAATAAAAGTATCACCTATCATCTTTTAAGTGTCATATTAATTTTTATATAAATATTTTATTCAATAAATCTTAAAAAATAATAATAATTTAAATACTAATTAGAATTATGGGAAGCAATAGAAAGTAGAGTTCTAAATTCAACCTTACTTACGTTGCAATGAAAAAAAAAAAAAAAACAAATATACACGTCACATTAATATATAAATTCCATCCGTTAAAACTCTTTTAGAACTATTATTTGAGAGTTACCAAATATTTTTGTTTGGGTGATTTGAAAATCCACTTACCAAACCCAATCCCAGAGTAAATCTCTTATCTCTTAGGACAAATTACATATATTTTCGAGATTTAATTAAATTACAGATGTTTTTAAAATTTGAAAAATTATAAATTTTTTCCTGAATGTTATATTTGCATAACAAATTAGAGGCTAATTTGTTATAAAATATAAACTTTAAGGGATAAATTGTTATGAAAATACAAACCTCAGGAATAGAATGTAATTTTTAAAATTTTAAAAGAATATCTGTAATTTAACTAAATCTCGAGGAAGGTATATGTAATTTGCCCTAAAAATTATAAATTTTTTTCTGAATGTTATATTTACATAATAAATTAGAGGCTAATTTGTTATAAAATATAAACTTTAAGGGATAAATTGTTATGAAAATACAAACCTCAGGAATAGAATGTAATTTTTAAAATTTTAAAAGAATATCTATAATTTAACTAAATCTCGAGGAAGGTATATGTAATTTGCCCTATCTCTTATTACTGTCACTATGATATGATTAGAAGACAGTTTGACATTTCACTTGAGTGAGCACCTAATGGATGGGTTTTCTGAAGTCAAGGCCAGAACTAGAAACATCACAACAAGAACAGCTCGCACTGTCTCTCCTCAAACATCCTCAATCATCAATCAGAACACTGAGCCACTTGAAATCTCTCCATGTCCACCTCCTCCGAACCGGCCTTCACCAGAACAGTTTCTCCGTCGGCAACTTCGTCTCCCGTTGCGCCACACTCGGCTTCATGGCCTACGCATCCCAACTGTTCGATCAAATGCTCGAACCAAACTCATTCGTTTGGAACACCATGATCCGAGGATTTCAACAAAACCAACAACCCAGAAACTCCCTCTTGTATTTCGATCGCATGAGGGTTCGAAGCGTTCCGCCGGATCGCTTCACGTTCCCTTTCGTTATTCGGGCTTGTGATGATTTGAAGGATCTAAGCAGAGGGGTTTGTGTTCATGGCTTGATTTGCAAATTGGGGATTGAGTTGGATGTTTTTGTTGGTACAAGTTTGATATATTTTTATAGTGGGTGTGGGGATTTGGAAATTGCTCACCATGTGTTTGATGAATTGCCTGTAAAAGATGCGGTGGCTTGGACTGTGATTCTATCTGGGTATGTGAATCAACGTGGTGATATGCAAAGAGCTCAGGAATTGTTTGATGAAATGCCTGTTAAAGATCTTGTGGCTTGGAATACAATGATAAATGGGTATGTGAAAGTTGGGGAGATTCAACTTGCTAAAAATTTATTTGACCGAGCGCCCGTGAAGGATATACTGATGTACAATACGATTTTAGGTGGGTATGCGAAGCATGGTGAGGTGGAAGTGCTTTTGCAGTTTTTTCGTGACATGCCCGAGAGAGATTTGGTGTCTTGGAACACAATTATTGGAGGGCTTGTGCATAGTAGGAGGATTAGTGACGCTATAAGACACTTTCACCTTATGCAAATGGAGAACATAAATCCTAATGAAGTGACCCTAGTGTGTCTTCTCTCTGCTTGTGCTCAAGTTGGAGCATTGGATACAGGAAGATGGTTGCACTCATATATAGATAGGAAAATAGTAGACTTGAATGTTGTGATTGGGACTTCTTTAGTGGACATGTATTCAAAATGTGGTGACTTGGTGAGTGCTGTGAATGTATTTGATAAGATGGTGGATCGAGATGTTGTAGCTTGGAATGCCATAATCATGGGATTTTCAATGAATGGGCAAAGCAAAAATGCCCTGGAAATCTTTCACCGTATGAAAAATGAATCCGTGAGGCCTAATGATGTAACGATTCTTGGTGTTCTTTGTGCTTGTGTGCACACAGGGCTGGTAGATGAAGGACGAACGTGGTTTCACAGTATGTCCAAAGATCTTGGTTTAGTTCCCAAGTTAGAGCATTATGGTTGCATGGTTGATCTCCTTGGTCGAGCTGGTTTACTGAACGAAGCTTATGAGGTAATCCAAAGTATGCCTCTCGTGCCACACGAGGGGGTCTGGGGTGCGTTGCTTGGTGCCTGTAAGATCCATGGAAATGTCGAGCTTGCAGAACACGCAATTGAACACTTAATCGAACTAGACCTTGAAGATGGGGGCTATCTAGCAATAATGTCTAATATATATGCCAATGCGGGAAGGTGGGATGATGTTGCCAAAGTGCGGGAACTGATGAGAGAGAAACTGGTTGAGAAGCTACGTGGGTGTAGCTCCATTGAGATCAATGGTGAAATACATGAATTCGGGGTAGAGGAGAAGATTCACCCTCGAGCTAAAGAAATTTATGGCATGATATATGAAATCTCAAAGCGTTTAAGGATAGCAGGACATATCGCCAGCACAAGCGAGGTGTTCTTTGATGTGGAGGAGGAGGAGAAAGAGAAGGCGCTTTATTTTCACAGTGAAAAGATGGCTGTTGCCTTTGGGCTCATTGCCACCGATGAGGGCACTGTCATTCGGGTGGTAAAGAATTTGCGAATTTGTGCTGATTGTCATGCTGCCATAAAGTTGATTTCTGGGGTTTTTGGAAGAGAGATAGTGGTTAGAGATCGTAGCCGGTTCCATCACTTCAAGGAGGGTTCTTGTTCGTGCAGAGATTATTGGTGATCATAACAGTGGTATGCTAGCTGGAAGAAGGCTTTTAGGAAAAAGACCTAAACGAAATTCTTTAGAAAAAAAAATGATCTAAGCAATGTACTTCTTTGAACCCTCATAATAAGTTAAGTTATATTAAGGACCCCAAATGTTTTAGTTTAGGATTTAGGGTTTAATTTTGAGTTTTATTTATTAAAACAACTAATTGTATAACAGGTAAAATTCATGGCCAGCTTAATTTTGAAAATGGTCAAGAATTAATTGAATGCTTGGAAGGCAGGTTTAAGCAAACTGTCCTTTATAGCTTATTGCAATGGAGTTGGCCCAGTGAATAGTGTTCCAAATGAACCGAGATGCTCGCGAACTCGGCTCGACTCAATTCGTTACTTCGACTCAACTCAATACGTTACTTGTATTAATGAGCTTGAGTTGGATTTTTAAGCTTTTAATAAACAAGCTAAGCTCAAGTTAGAATAGGCTAGACTTAAAGTTGAACTCATTTATTATTAATTTATTTTATTAATATATTAAATAATGTAAAATGTGTCATATATGTATAGTGTACTATAGAATAATATTTAACGAGATGACCAAACTTGATTATTGAGCTAAACTTTTTCTTCATTATCTAATTTTAAGCCAAGCTCAAGCTAGATTAATTTTGAGTAAACTCGAACTTGATTTTTTAAGCTAAGCTCAACCCATGCAAAGCTTGGTTTGATTCATTTGCAGCCTTACTGGATGGGTGCTGATGCTCTCTAACTCGTGATTGGGTTTGATTTGCAGAATTTCCATCCCTTTAGTAGGAATTTCCAATATAAAAATAAATAAATAATAAATAATAAAAAAACCTTTAGAAAGGAAACTTTATCACCAAAATATGCAGATGAGGATGGGCAGAACCAATTTATACCTTTGTGTTGTACCCTTTCAATAAATCAAATTAAAATTGATCCTTCGTCAAACTAACTGTTGGAATAAATGTTCATTGCATGCCGGTCATGAATGTCAAAACAAAAATTTGATAATTTGGAATACAGAGAACAATCTGTTCACATTCTATGGGGATGCTAAAGGAGAGTTCAATGCCATGGAAACATATTATTATGTCCCATGCATGGCAGACGAGTATTGCACAACCATGAAAATGAAAATGGAAATTTTTACTATTTCCATATAATGTGATTCCAAATTGTTGTTGTCAGGGCAGTAAGGTGAAGCCTTGTACAACTGATCTATAGATAATTTGACTATCACTCTGCGGGAGAGGAGAGAGGACGGTGAGTGCAATGTCGGGAACCCGCCAATCAGAAGTGCGCCAAGCTGTATACAAGAATCCATGCAAGCTGAAAAACAAAACAGAATAGTTAGCTAGTTGGTAAACCAGCAAAGGAACTTGTGTAGAGTGAGAACAGCGACAAAGGGAGATGTTTTGGGTACCAGAAAGAGCATTATAGAAACAAAAAGCCCCTCTTGGAGGAGAGCTCCATGGCCGCCAAAGTCTTCTTCATCGATCTTTAGTATCATTGCATAATAACCATATATGATCCCAGAGGATATCACGAGGAACCTGAGACATCAAAGTTTGGTATTACTAGTTGATCACAGGAGTTTCCACACAGCACACCAAAAGATTCATCAGAAATGACTATCGTTCATTACTAATGTATGTTTAAAGTATAATCACTTGGAAACTGACAAGTTTACCAACTACGAGCCACATTACCAAAAAAACCTCATAGACGTTTCAACCTTGTGTGAGTGATTATGAAAGCTTCTTTGCACTTCGACAGCTTACTTCTTTGGAACTATCATGGGAGTTCTCTTGAAGGTGCATCTTCTTGAGTCCAGATCCTCTAGAGTGATATTTCGAGTAATTTTTTGTCTGGTTATCTTCTTATCCTAGTGTTAATACTTTTTAGGTAGTATGCGCTATTGCCTTCACACAACTTCACTTAGTGTCTCTTACAGACTTTGGGAAGTAATCAGTTATTGTTCTAAGTGTGTTCATGGTTTGTGTGAAGGTCACTGGTTTTGGGTTAATCTAAGAAAACCCTTTTGTTTTTGAGTTGATTGTAAAAGTTTCAGGTCATCCTAGGAAAAAACTACAGTTATAAAGGTTTTGGGTAAACCTAGGAAAAACCGTTCGATTTAGTATAGTTAACACTGACAAGATAAGCTGGGAGTGGATGTAAGAAAAATTGGTGTGCCGAACCACTATAAGAAAAATTGGCAGGCTCTAAGAATCCTGTTTAGTTGTTGCATTCTACCTAAGGTAATGTGTTAGGTTAAATTGTACACAATCATATAGTTATGCATCTTTCCTAACCATCCATTACTGTACAATCAACTTGAACTATATTATTATTAGTACATAATTAATTATATAGTTGAGTATCTTTTGTAACCGTTCATTACCACTATACTACATCTTATTAGTGCAATAATTAATCTAAATTGCACATGACTAAACAGGGCACTTTGCATTGGTTCCAAACAAACCTAAAAGGATGTGTTTGATTCCCACAAGTTATGGGGAAAAGAAAAAGTAAAGAAAAAATGTCTCATATTTCTCCTGTTTATTTAAAATTTAAAAATAAAGAACTTGTAAGAAAAGGCTAGAATCAAGAAAATGCTTTCCCTCATACACCCCCAAGAGGCAGGCATGGATTTTTAATGGTAATAAAAAAGGGGGAAGATGTATTCTTTTGCATCACCTTTTCCTTTCTGTCACCAACTCAAGAAACCAAACAAAACTTCCATCTCTTTAAGTGACAAAAAAACTCCCATATCCCCAATTCCCCCAATTCCCTCGAACATCTCATTATAGTAATTCTTATTTCTCATCGAGGAAAGATGACAAACGATTCTTTAGCTCTCTATAGGTTCGGACATCTCTACACCTTCCCTACATCTGTACCATAGAATGGAATTTTTCCTCCAATTAGGAAAAATAGCAAATAAAAAATCTTTGAAACCATGTGGTGACCAATACCTCAACAGTTATTGTACACATGAGAATCTTGAATTTATTCAAACTCTACCAATATAATTCCAAATATGATTCACTTTTTCTTCCAATGCAAATTTTCCACCACATGAGAATCTTCCTTAGAATGGTATTCTTTTCAATTTATTTTATTTTATTTTAGTATCTGAGGTTTTTAGCAATATAACCCTGCCTGTGTTGTGCTTGGTGTTTCGTTTACACAACTGGACAGTCCGGATAAGGAGGGTTGTGTATTAGCCTAAAAATCGACTCATAAAATTCCCATCAAATCTCTTATCTTTGTACAACGAAGACTTATAGATGCATTGGTAAGGAAGAGTGATATGATCACCAGAAATGGAAATGTTAGAGAGAGGGGAAGATCTAAACTGACTTGGGATGCAGTAGTAAAAAATGATATTAATTTATTTATTTAACTTGAGTATATAACCCTTGACAGAGTAGAATGGAGGAAAATGATTCATGTAGCTAACTCCATTTGATTGGGGCACAAGACTTAGGAGGGTAAGGTTTTGTTTGGTTTAGAGGTTTTTAAAAATATGAAAACATGTCAATGTGCAGGTGAACTTTTCACATAAAGGTTTAAACTACAGTATTTTTGGGCTAAACTAAATCTGATTAGTTAATGGCAATGGTAAGTGTTGAAATTTCTAAAGATGAAGTTTGAAAAGTAGCAGTCATCCCAACTCATTATCATCCAATATTTGGAATAAGTTAAGTTATCCTACCTATAAAGGTAAATAAGTACATTAGACCCACCCCAGTCCCACCAAAAAATAAAACAAGGATTACAGACAATAGCAAATCTATCTTCATTGATGTTCCAAATCCAACAAAAAATCCCGAAAAAGCAGGCTATCTTTTGAAGCAATTATGAGAATATGGAAAATCTTGTCTCAGTTTTAATAATGCACTATACCATTTATACATCTCAAGATACAATTAAAACTTTATTTAGTATATGCATTTACCATGAAGAATATATCTCATTCATATTAGAAAGGGTAATTTGGAAGTGGAATAAAAAATGGAACCATATATACCATGGTCGGAGGAGTAAAAGCATCAACTTACACAATAATCCATATGCCTCCAACTAAAGGAATTGTACCCCAAAGCAACCCACATACAAGGGCCACCACTTGTCGAATCCAATGCAGTACATCCCCTAATTGATCCTGCAAGAAGAGTGTGTTAAATTATACTATGGATAACACACAAAAGAAAATCTGTCTAGTAATTACAAAGAAAGGAAAATTTGTGTCTTTTGGAATACTATAGCTGCAATATTTTCCAAATTATACTACTCTAACCATCACATACTACAAATTTCTAAGGTTATTTTGAACTATCAAAAATCTGCTCATAAACTCCACCTTCTATGTTAGTCAATAAGAACATATATGACCTCATTGCTCTGGAAAAATATAATTCGATAGAGATTTATATTGATTTCTATATGAACTTATTTCACCATTCAGTAACATTTCCCTTGTTTAATTTAAGAATATGACCTTATAGATCTAGCAAATGGATCTCTTTCAAAAAGTTTTTCACTTAAGGATGAATGGATTCAAAATTAAACACGATGTGGGTCTTTCCTTGATTGAAACTGTTCCCACACCAAAGCTCCCTAACAAACTATCCCTAGTGCTCACTTACAGAGATAAATAAACAAATATCGCACTTCGGATTCTCTACTGACTTTTATGGACTCTACATCAATCCACATTTCTCTATTCAGCCAGATTTTCTTCAAAACACGAAGCAGGAAATTAAAGAAACTTTAATCAAAGTCAATATTGAGAACTTTATGATATTTACCATTATCCGCTAGTACATAAATAGAAGTCTCCCAAATTATATTCTTCCTTCTATCTCTCCTAGGCATACAAAGATGAAGTCTTCGAGGGTACATCTTGTCATAATTCTAATATTTTTTAATAAAACATCATTAGATGTCAAACTTGTCTTTAAATCCTTGTACAATAACCAGTTCTAAAGACCTAGTAAATTATGTCACCCTTCTCTAATATAGAACCCCATAGCATTGCAGCTTGAAGCTTCAAAATGATATGATATGATATGATAATAGGGCATTATGAAGTAAAAGAACGCAAAGAAAAAAGAAGTATTTTAAAAACAGGAAAACAAGGATTGATAGAGAAGAATTAATCGACTAGAGAGAGTCTCTTGAAGCTGTTTGGTTTCTCCACACACGAGGAGCCCTGCTGATGTTTCATTTTTCTTAAACCATACCATAACTCTGTTTTCCACTTAAAATCCTCTATCATACAACTGAAACAGTTCACCTTTTTTTTTTTTTCTCCTTCCTCCATTAAATGCCATCATAAACACATGCAATCAATATCTGGATGCAACTGGCACTAAATTACTCAACTATAAGCTCCCCGTCCCTCGCTAGGAAGCCACCCTTTGTCAAAACTTTTCTACATAGGAGATTTCACAGAAGAGAATAATACACGTTAGGAAAGAAAGACAGTTGAGAACAATCTTCGATTACTTTTCTCCACGTTTCGAAATCCCAGTAGGATAAAGTTGTCACTAGTAGTCCTTTAATCTCTGAAATACATTATTCCTTCTCACGTCCCCACTCCGACTCCGATACATTTATTTTCGACATATAATTCAATCTGCAAAGAAGAGGGTCCCGACTAGCCTACATATCTTGTGCTTTCAACAAATCAAAATCGAATAAAAATACAAGGCACCCTAAAGTAACTACTACAGAAAAACAAGGACCTCCGGCTAAATACACATCAAATATAAGTTTTTTGAAGGCTCCCATGCATTGCAAGCCAATAGGGACTCCAACCCGGCCTAAAATTACCAATTGGGACTCCGGCTAACTGGTTTTCGAGATTTCATCCTTCTACAGTGAGCATAAGCTATAAAAATTACCAAATGAGCTTCTTTGGAGTCCATAAAGCTAGATTTCGACACATGGTAAGATTTCTTATTTCTCTTATAAGAATTTCGAGAATTTCAAAGGCATGAAAATACACTATTTATCAGATCAAATTAAATTATAACCTAAATTGAAACGAAGAAACGGCGATCTAACGAATCAAAAGCAGCAAATTATCAAGAATCTAAAGTAGAAAAGTGCGAACCTTGTCCCAAGAAGCCTCCGGATCCAACAATTTAGCGAACTTGAAAGGAGACAAGTGACCGTTTTGGTGGTGGTGGTGTTGTTGTTGCTGCTGAAGATTGAACTTCACCGATTTTCGCTCTTTCATGGTGAAAATCGGTGATGATTTATATATTATGTTGCTAGAATGATTGAACTTTCAGAGATTTTAATCCAAGTACATTAGGGTTCGCGGAGAAGAGAGTGGTGATTTGACTGTGATGTTGTTAAAAGTGTGATATGTATATATTATTATACTATTATTAGTAATTAAAAATTGAGAGAGCTTTCCTGTAGATCTGATGTGATTGGATAGTGAAGAGGAGGTAGGTTGGTTTTATAATTTTTGATTTTTTTTTTTCTCCTCCTCCTGTCAGGACTGCACGTGATGCAATCAGAGTTTCAATCAATTTTGATGTGTAGTTGTGTTATTTGAGTTGTATTTGTATTAATGTATCATGTATGTATGTATGTATGTATGTGTGTATGCATTTGGTTTTATGAGCGTTCGTTTCTTCTACCGAACATTTTAGGCCAAGTTTGGTATCCTCTAAAAAAATTCAAAAAGTTAAAAAGTCACTATCTTATTTAAGTCACATCATCTCTCTAACACATCACTTCAAATTCAACCCAAATCCAACCCAAATCCAACCCATATTTCATAAAAAGTCAAAAAGTGCACTTATTTAGTCTTCCCAAACTTGGCCTTAGTCTTTGTTTGATAGTGATTTTTTTAGTTAATTTTTTAATTTTTTTGACTTTTTTTAGTTAGAGATTTTTTTGTTCATTTGATATTTTTGATTGATTTTTTTGATTTTTTAGCTTTGAAATAGTGATTTTTTTTTCTTTTTGTGATTTTTGATTTTTTGTGATTTTTTTTACTTTTTGCCTTTTTGTGATTATTTAGCCAAAAATATAACCAAACACCGCCTTAGAAGTTGTTTGCCATGCACTTATTTAAATAAGTGTATTTATTTGAGTTATATTGGGTATGTTTGGTTTGGTTTTGAGAGAGTAGTTTTTAAAAATTATTTTGGAGAGAGAGTTTAGAAATTTTTTTGGTTTGTTTGGTTGTGTATTTTGAAAGTAGTTTTGGAGTTTGGGAGTTTGATATTTTGTTATAATTGAGTAGATATGTGTGAGAGAAAAAAATGATTGAGAAAGAGAGAGAAGCGAGAAAAAGTGATTAATTGATGGATAAGAGAGAGAAAGTGATTTTGAAAATTATTTTGAAAAAATTACAAACTAAACAAATTTTTCCCAAAATCACTTTACAAAGCCAAACAAAACATACCCAAATTATTTTTTTTTAATTTTTTTTTTATAAAAATTTAAAAGGTATATTTATTTACATCATCATAAATAATTCCTAAACTAGGTTTGGCATAAATTTCTTAGATTAAAATAGTCATAAAAAGATAAAATAAGTTAAAAAAATTAATAAATTAAAATGTCACATATAAATCATAATCATTTCATTTTTTTGCTCACAAAAATCAAAAAATAAAAAAGTTCATCCCAAAAGAGACTTTTTTTAGGCTTGGATTGGGATAAACTACAAAAGTTAAAAAATCAAAAAGTTATTAAAAAAAACCAAAAAGTCCATACTATTTGAGGGAAGCTTGTGAGGGAAGCCTAGAGGACAAAATTATTATTTTGCCATTTGAATTCAACTACCCAAAAGTCAAAAAGTTAAAAGTCAAAAAATCAACAAGAGTAAAATGGTCATTTTGATTTTACTACAATATTTTATTATATATTTTTTTCGTAATAAATCAAAAAGTTATCCCAAACATACATTTTTTTTTCTACTTTTTTAGTCAAAAAGTGTACTTATATAGCACATTCCAAATAAAAGTCAAAAAGTCAAAAAATTAATTAACATCAAATGAAGACGGACTTAATTTATCACTCTTAAATGACTTGTCTATTGGGAAGCCAAAAAAAAAAGAAGCTAATTTTTAATTTTTTTACCCATTTTGGGTCACATCATCTCTCATTTTTCACTCACAAAAAGACAATATATTAAAAAATTTAAAAAGTCAATTTTTTACCAACTTTTCAAAACATTACGTTATTGAGATTAGATCACATAAAATAAAACGTTTCACAATTTAAAATTTAACACATCCCAAACAATCAATATTTAAAGATAATAAATTAGTAAGCGTTTAGATAAACGATTATGTTAAAATAACCTATTAAAAAATAAAATAAATTAAAATAGTTGATGAAATAAAATATTATATTTAATCCATAATCTTTTTATTTTTTCTATCACAACTATTAAATTAATTTTTAAACATAATTTTTATAATTAAATTAAAATAATTAAATAATCAATTAAAATAATTAACTTTTCAAACAAGTTAAAGCTATATTTGGTTTTGATTTTTTGACTACAAAAACATAAAAGATAAAATTAATTATATAAGTCAATAAGATAAAATGTTATATTTAAATTATAATTATTATATTTTTTTCATAAAAATTAAAAAATTAAAAATAAAAATCAAATAAAATTAAGTTAGAATAATTTTAAAAAAAAAATCATACTATTTTAGCTCTTCCTAAACGTGAAGAAGTCAACTTTCGCCCATCATCGAAAAGGCGGCCAATCGTCATGGGAATTGCGGCCCACGTTTACTCCTATTGGGCCTGCTGGACATTATTTCTAAATAGTGAAGATTACTTACCCGTGTGTGATTACCGTATCAATTGATGTATCCACAATGATTAAGGTCTCTTTTGTTAGAGACTTTGGCTTCATTTGGGGAGTGGAAGGATTTTTTAGTTTTTTTGACTATTTTAATTTGGATTAAAAAGTTTAATTTAAAATTAGTTTTTTAATTTTTTTAATTTTTTTTGTGAGAAAAATAAATGATTATGGGTTAGATGTGATATTTTATTTGTTATGGCTAAAATAGTCTATTTTGTCTTTTATAACTAAAATACTCAAAAAATCCAAAAACCATCTTTTCAAATGGAATTTTTTTTGGATCTTAATTATTAATGGTGTGAATTTCATATATACATGGGTGGGTTCCATATATATATATATATATATTAATAATTCTCTAAAAAGGATTAAGGGTCACTAATGTGCTTGTGCCTCAATTTAAGGTGTATTATAAGTTTATTTTTATAATCCGAACCGTTCATTTTGTAGGGTTTGTTGAGTACTTCGTGTCTACCAAAAATCATATTAATCGGATATCAATAACTTTATGATCGAATTGCATATTTTTTATGCCATTTCTCAAAAGAAAAACTTAATGTTTATTTTTTTGATTATTGATCATATAGTTATTGATATCCGATTAATATAATTTTTGGTAGGCATGAAGTACTCAACAAACTCTACAAAAAGAACGGTTTATATCATAAAATAAGTCCATGATACACCTCAAATTGAGGCACAACAGTCACTGCTGTGCCTTTAGCACAGCAGTGACCCTTAATCCCTCCAAAAAAGGGTCCCAAACATTTTTCTTAATATATTAATTAATGTATCAATATAATTATAATATTATCATTTAAAAAATTTAGAGATTTTAAAATTTTTATCAAATATCTCACATAGATGTAATATTACAGGCATCGATTGATATATCAATTAATATACTAATATATACTATAACAATATCACTTCAAAATTACAACGCCACCCATTATACAAATTACAAAAAATAAGAACCTCTAAAATTATATTATATCATATGTTATTATACTAATTACTATACCAATCGATGTATATAACATTATTCATTACAAAGACTCAAAACCTATAAAATTATGTCACATCATTCATTAGTACACTAATTAGTATATCAATTGGTGTATATAGCATTATTCATTACTTAGGCCTTATTTGTCAATTACGCATTTTAGTTAGAAAGTTAAAAAGTCACTATAAGTTGTCACAACACTCTCTCTATTTTTTTGCACATCTTTTCGTAAAAATTCAAAAAGTTACTAAAATAGTTTATTCTCAAATGAGGTCTTACAATTGAGCTAGTGGAAAAAAATACAAATTATAGGCTTATTTTGGCAACACGATTAAAAGCTAGCTTTTTATTTTTTGGTTTTTTTAAGGGGGATTTGGTGATAGCCCCATCACTATCTAATTTGTCTTTCAAAAGGACAAGAATTATATAAGTACTTTTAAGACTCCCTAATATTTTAAAACTTGTTTCTTTTACTATATTACTTTCATATCTATCAGCTCTCCTATTAAGTCATCTTCACTATCTATTTCAGAGTAAAATTTTATTCTGTATGAAAGTAAAATTTTACTCTATATGAAAGTAAAATTTTACATTCTGAAACTAAAAATAAAATTTTACTCTGTATAAAAGTAAAATTTTACTCTGAATAAGAGTAAAATGTTACACTCTGAAACTAAAAGTAAAATTTTACTCTGTATAAAAGTAAAATTTTACTCTGAAAAATGAGTAAAATGTTAGACTCTACACAAAAGTAAAATTTTACTCTGTATAAAAGTAAAATTTTACTCTGGTTCTGTCAAATGAAAAAAACAGAGCAATAGAACCAGAGTAAGATTTTACTTTGGTTCTGTCAAATGAAATTAGAAACAAAACAACAAAAATAAATAAAAAACAAACAAACAAACAAAAACAAAACAAATTAATTAACAAATCAACATATCTAGTTGAGAAGAAAAACTTCTAAAACCCGATCAACAATCACAAATCTCAATGAAAAGAATACATGTGTTCAACAACACTCATACACACAAATATATATATATATATACATATATTCAAAACTCAAATCTGTGTTTAAAAAAATATGTATAACCAAACAACTCCACCCGCACTCTTCTCCATGTGGTCATTGCGAACTCGATGGATCTTCAAATTGCAATAGAAGCTTCAAATTGAGTTTAATTTCGCTTCAAGATAGCAAACACAAGTCTGATTTCGATTCAGTTAGCGAAGTCGATCTGCAAGTCGTTCGAACTTAGAGTTTGCAACCTTTAAGCCAGATGCAAACTGAAATCGCAATTCCAATTAGAACTTGAAATCCAAAGTTCTTATCAAAGTTGACTCAAAGAACAACGAGTCACAAGAGAGAACCCAAGGTCAGATTGCGAAGGACTCCAGTTCGTAATCGCGAGTTCCAGAAGCTTGAATTCGGGTTGATTGTCGAATTGGATCAATTTTGCGATGAAATCCTTGGTTTCTTAACAAACGCAAATTAGATTAAAGCTTCAAACTAAGCTTCAATTCAAATACACAAGTCAGATTGTGATTGCTTGAACCAGGTCAGTGTTCTAGGTCAAAGATTGAATGAATTTTAG